ATGTGCAGAATGTTTAAAGAGTATATTACATTTAAAAAAAGTTTTTAGTTTTATTAAACCCAATCATTAACATCTATTAAAAGTTTCTTTTGTTTACATTTGCACACGTGCGTAAAAGCTTTAGTAATTATTTTTTTTATTATCTATTTTGTATAACATTAGTTTTTGTTTAGTGTTTTTTTTATTCTGATCACAATAAAAATTTTTCATTACTATGAAAAAAAATACGAAACATACAAATTAAATAAAAACATTCTCTTAATTCAATATGTCTAAATAATAATAATTCATTAAACAGAATAATATAACAAATTTGCATCATTTGCATAAGGAATTATTTGAAAATAATTTCTGTGTAAATTTTAGTGTTTGCATTTAACCGATTGAGTGGTGCTCGTGTCGGTTATCTTCATTTCTTGAACTTCGAATTTATTACTACATTTTTGGTTTATCATAATCAAACGTAACTGTAAATAAAGAAATTTAACATGAATCGGACTAGAAGAAAAATTGAACGCCCAAAGAATCCCTACTCAACCGCTAATATATTTTCGAGATGGAGTTTCTGGTGGATGAGAAAAATATTTCATAAGGGTTTGCAAGCCACTTGAAGAAGAAGACTTATATCAGCACCGTAAAGACTTAGATAGTGAACGAGTAACTACAAAGTTTTCGTAAAAACAAGACGGTGCAATAATCCGTTCGCGTAGTTTAACTGCTGTGTATTTTATTTTAGAAGATTTAGTGTTTCCAGCAGAGATCGTAGGCAAATGTATTTGTGCCAAATTGGATGCACATTTTTTAAACATAGTTTCATTAATATTGTTATTTTGTTGTTGTAGACTTAAAACCTTATTTGAGAGATTTGCACATAACTCGAGCCCTTGAAATTGAATTCGGTACTAAAAAGGTATGCACATTTTTTAAACATAGTTTCATTAATATTGTTATTTTGTTGTTGTAGGCTGTTATAATTTATGTACCAATTCCACAACAAAAAACTTTCCAAAAGATACAAATTATTTTGGTGCGTGAACTTGAAAAAAAGTTCTCTGGATTAAATTTATTATTTATAAAAACTTCTTGCGAATGCTCCAATTTACTAACAACACATGTTAAACTAACAGATCACAAACACTATTTTCATTACAGCTATAATTCTTATACTTCACACTGTTAAAAAAAAATCTGCACCGATATGTTAATTATGAATAAAATAAAAATTCCTTTTACTGTTTCAGCAATCATTACCGACAGCGTCGATAATCTAGATGTTACTTACACTGTCGATAACGAAAGTAATAAATCCATAAAATCCGTATAAACCATAAAATCCGTACATAAAATACTTAAAAAAAGCATAAAATCATAAAATCATAAAATCATAAAATACAACAATAAAAATATATAATAAAAGCAACTACTACGCAAGAAACATAACAAAAAAATAAAAATATTAAAATTACAATTAAAAAACAAAACACTCAATAAACAAACAATAGAATTATAAAATACACAATAAATATATAAAACAACCAATAAACATATAAAACATTCAAAAAAAATAAAAATTACAATAAAAATTTTAAATATACAATTAAAATACATAATAAACAAACAATACAATTATAAAATTAACAATAAACATATAAAGCAAACAATAAAAATATAAAACATTCAACAAAAATTGTTGTGCAAGCGATGTTTGCAAATTTTCTTTTTATCTTCCCTTTCTGTTAGCAGAAGTAGCCAATTTCCTCAAAGAATTACTATTTTGAATCTTAAATTATTATTTGTTAATTTCAGAGCTACCTCAAACAAAATAAATCAAAACTTATATGCTTTGTTAATTAAAAGCCTGCAGTAAATTATTGAAATCCAATGCATTTAAAAATGTACGCATGTACATGTAAATGAACTGCATGTAAAACAAAATTTTTGAACGTGCAGCCAAAAATTGCGACATCAGAAGCACATTAGCCTATACGATATCTAGATATACTATAAAATATTATTATATATTTACATAGCTTCCTTAGCAAAAAAAAAAAAAAATTGATTTTAGAATGACTTTAAAAACTTTATCTAAAGTACATACATATATATTTGATGCATGAATCAAACCTTTTTAGTGGTTCATTTAATTCTTTTTTTATAATAAAATTATTTGCGAATTAATTTAAGGATTAAGTTTGCAGAAAAAAAGATTTTTTTTTTCTTAATAAATTAATAATAGTAAATAATTACACAAATTTACCGGCTAAAAAATTCTTTTATGAGTTCATTTAATTTTTATTTCGACGAAATTCATCGGAATACTCTAGAAATTCATTTAAATCAGTGTCAAAAATGTCTTTAAAATAATTATTTTCTATATATGAAAGTTATTTTCTATGTAAATTGCTATAATTTTTAATTTTATTAAATTATTACATTAGTTTTGCTGATATATAATTAATATATAATATATTTTTGAGTTAATTGAATTTTATTAAGTAAA